TCTGGTTCTTTTCTTTGGAAGTGCAGTCATGTGCAATCAGGTGGAATAAGTGTGCTGATAATTTTCCTTCAGAAATTGTAATGGTTAGCAATGTGGACACTTTTCTTTTTAGGCAGAAACCATGAGGCACTGAAGCAAGCCTTCACTTTTCTTGCACTTGAGGACACAAATTTATGCAAGTCAAAAATGTTAGGCCTGCCAAAAACATCATGCTACACTCCACCAAATAAAAGGACACTGTTATTCTTACAAGGAAAGGTTTGACAGGACAGGAAATAGGTAGGGTCATAGAAGTTTACTTAGTACCAAAACTTCTTTAACCATCTTTAAGCCAAAATACAACGATAGTTATTAAAAAAAAAAAAAATAGGGAGGGGGACAGGACACAAATACAAGGGCACTGGGCTGCACTATTACAGGAGTAGCAACGAGTACAGAAATTAGGGAACCTTAACAAAAATTCACATTATTCAGGTTTCTATATGTTACCTGCCTTTATTGGGTTAACACATATTAACGAAGTTTTAATCTATGTCCTGAACTTGCAGCAAAAGGCATCTGATTTGGAGAATCCAGTGCAGAGTTTACCAAGCTGCACACTTTCTTTAGAATGCAGTCCTTAAGTAGACAACGTTCCACTTAAAGGAATGGAGGAAGGGGCAGTAAGAAGAGAGTGAATATGAAAGATAGGAAAAATGTTGCTGTTCATTACAATTTTCCATTTTTGTTGAAACACAGCAGGAGAGCAAAGCCACAGGCTTCTCTACTGCTCTTGCATGCCAGAAGGGATTATGCAAACACTGCAACCACCCAAATCTTATTTAAATTATAGTCATTGTTCCCCCTTTAATGGTTATACTTTTGCCTGCTTTCACTCAAATATTGCTGCATCTTGCTTTCCGCCAACATAGTCCCAATGGGAGTCATCAACTCTTAATTATAGATGAACAGATCTTTGAAAAATACCTCTGGAAAAAAGTGGAAAAGAAAGCAAACTTTAAGTGCCATCTAGTGGCTGATCTATTAAAAAACATTAAATAGATCAAAAAAATTCTTAACATGCCAGAGTAATGTAACTGTAGCTGAACTGAGGAAGCAGTCCTTAAATTCACAACTGCTAAAGATCAGGTTAATACTTCAGCGAACCAAGAAAAGGACCAAAGATCAAAAAAAAGGACTAAAGATCAATGGTATTATTACCATAATTTTTATTTCTTTAAAGGTTTTTGTCTCCAAGTGGAGAGTTCGAATAGTAGGAATTGTATAGTGATCACCCGTTCCTTCAAGACCCTCACAGCTTATCAGCTTCTGCCTTGCTAAGGAAATACAAGTTGTCATATGTATTTCGGTCCAACTCAGAAAACAGAACCCTTTCAGATCTCAAAATAGAACACAAACCATGGGGGTGAATCTGGAGCCAAGCATCCTGAATTAAAAAGTTAGTATTCTCCTCCAAATTCACTGGGGGTCGAAGGCCAGATTGTCTCTATCTCTGTTTGTAACAAGTCAAATCCATTTCTAAAAGAAAGGAAGCAGATTCTTAGTCAGTAACATCCTTTTGCTTTTGCTGCAGGAAAAGGCCATTTTTTGCTGTAGATGAGAACTCCCAACAAATTATTTTTCCATTATAATAGCTCCACATTCCATTTACACAAAGAATGTTCCACAAGATCATTCCCCAAGCTTTAGGTAACTCCTCTTGGAGATAACATGCCCCTTCTCTAACAGTAGTTGACAGTCTAAACTTAAATAGCTTTGTCTGAACCTGTCCAGCGATAACGGAGCGCAGCCCAATATAATTTTTATTTAATATAATTTTAATTTCATTATTTTTGCAAATAGCATTATATTTTAGACTTTGTCTGGAGCTTTGCATCTCTTCAGTTTCACAGCTATAGTGAGCCCTGGGGATCACACCTCAGTGACAGGCTCTGGAGACATGAATCTGGCTAGATAGAAGTAAGACCTACACACGTTACTGTCCAGCTTCTTATACGGTTACTTGCTCAAGCATGTTGCTCAATCACACACTCAGCTAGTTTTTCATTGAATTGCAAAACTAATTTACCAACTAGTTAATTCAGGCAGAAGGACAGATCTCTGATAAAGTAATGAACAAGATCAACGTGTTTCCCAGTCCTGTCTTCCTTTTGCCGATACAAAAATTGTTAAACATTCTGATTTTTTGTTTAAAACAGGATCAAATGTGCTAATTAAAGCTTAAAATGTGCCATTATAAAGAGAGAAATTTAAACAGTGCTGAAGAGGTGAAGTCTACCTTCTTCCCCTGGCTTATAGGGAGAGGGTGAGTTGTGTGAGTAAGAGCCAGAAGCTAAAAACTAGTCTCTGCAACAGATACTGGTCTATGCCTCCTGTGTATGTTTGCCAGATACCAAGAAAAAATACTTTCATAGCATAGGTAATATTAATGGGAAAAGGGAACATTAGAATAATTTGGAGGATATTGCTTTTCATCTTAATGAAACTGTGGGACTTTCGGGGGGAGGAGGGAAGAGATGTAGGCAGCATGGTTTGAACCAGAAAGTAACATACACTGTTGTAAGAATTCTCTACTCACTACCAATACAAAAAGTTGCTATAAGTTTCAATACAGGCCCTGGTCTGCAGTAGCAAGTATCAAACCAAGAACTTTCAATACATTGGTAGGTAACTCTTGTTGCCTGGTTAGAAGTATTTGCCCTCTCTAGATTTGCTATTCATATTGAAGCAAAACCCCAAAAAGGAATTCTCAGAATTTGTTACCCAAGTGCAATGGTTTGACGCACAGGGAGGAGTTCAGTATAGGGGTGAGCTTGAAAACATTTCTGTTTTTTCAGATAGACTTTTCCAAGGCCCTACTGGGAAGAGCCTTGCAGTATCTTAAACTCATTACCTGTTTCTCTAGATAAATTTTGAGAAATGATCAAAAGGAACTCAAGTACACTAATTTTCAAAATAAGTGAGCCCTTTTTGGTAATGACACTTAGGTAGCGGTCTGTATGTTGACAACTTACATCAGGCGTGAATGTGTAAATTTATGTTTCTTCCTCATGTATCAGAGAGCACTTTTTCTAGCAAATACTATTCCTTCTTATCTCAGAATCTAGAGTATTAGTATTACTTTCAAAAATGGAAATTAGATCCGTTTCCAACAGGTAGATCAAATTATAAGTATCAACAAAACTTAAAACTTTTTCTTTCTAGGTTGCTGTTCCAAGCGAGATCATCTTGTAGTATCTTTTAAAAAGGACTTGTGACAGTGTATCCTCTGCTGGTTTTTTTGCTTTGAGGGGTGGGGACGGAAGAAAAGAGGAGCAGCAAAACTTGCTCTCAACTTAAAAGTCCAGCAAGAAGAAACGGCGTACACAAAAGGATCCTAGTTATTTTAAGACCTTTAAATAGCCTTTGTTAATTGAAGTTCCTTTTCGGTAGGTTATAGAATGGAAGAAACTGAAGTGTCAAGATGAGCTTTTCCAATTCATTTAAAACTTCATTGGTATGACTTGCTTCTTGCTTACAATTGGCTTTTACATGGTAAGCCTGCTTATGAAGGTCTGGGTGTACAGATGTAAGTACAGTGTTGTGATAAGGTTGTAGGAGGGGGGGGAAAAAGGACTGATAAGCATATAATGCACATGGAGGGAAAGACATCTACCCTAGTCAAAGGTGAATGTACTGACTTTTTCAGCACTGCCAAGTCAATGTAATGACTATCCTATGGGTGAAGGAGTCTGAGTGCTGTCACATTACACTTTATTTTCCAGCTCCTTGGGGAAGGGGTGATAAAATGTATAAAACGTGCAATATTTTGGGCCTACTTCACTGGAAATGGTTAGTCCTAGACAAGGACATGAAACTAATACCAACAGGATTACTATGATCTGAGACTACCAAGAGAATGCTGTGAACATCTTTGTTTACAAAAGGGTCTACCTTTCCACTGCTGAAACATTACTTTAAAGCACAGTATTTCACACTTCTGACTTTCAGCTAAGAGAATACAGACAGCTGCAGGGGAAAAAAATGTTTGAGAGCCTCACAGCCTTTTATAGTTCTTTTATGTAAAGTGGCAAAATGCTCAAGATTCTTCCCTTTTTGTCCCTTCTCTTGTGTGCATGTTCTTTCACCTGAAAGCTTTTGAGTCATTTAACAGATTCCCACACTTAAAGAAACAATTGGGTTCGGGACAGATGCCAAAAGAGTTCTATATTAACTGGTCAAAATAGAACCGAAAAAAATAATTCGTGCACTGCTTCAATAATTCAAAATCTTTCTTCCATGCAGTAACTTATTAATGAATTTATCAACAAATATTTCAACAGCATACTTCATAGCATTTATTTACTCTATAGAAGTTATTTCCAGATGAGTTGTGTTTATTTAGCTCAAACACTGGCTGCTCTATTAAGAGAGCTGAAAAAAATGGCTGTTTGAAGAGAATCTGCTAAGGATCAAAGACAGAACTTTAGCTGTGGACAGAAACAAGTATTTTGACAGGTTGTAGAAGCTGCAGTATTCAATCTTTGCCTTTTTATGATTTAAGGATCAGAGTGGGAAAGTCATATCAATACTGTATTATCACCAATTCTGTATGAAATAGGCTCTCAGCATGAAATACTGAGCTACGTGGAAGATAGCTTTCAAAAGACTAACACAAACTGGCAAGGGAACAATCAGCCACTTTAGGTACCTAAATAAAATAAAATCTTTAAGTTATTTTTAAATTTATTCGAGTATAATCAGCACAAAAGTAATAAGCTCTTATTACTGAGGACCAAACATCCAAAAAAGAACAAAATGATCCTTCAACCAATCAAGTCAGTCATGCACATTTCCACATAACGCAGATAAATTCACTCCTGTAAAAACAGACAGGAGGACAGAAACAGAGAAGTCTGAATAAAACTCGGTTTTTAATGTACTCCAAAATCCCACCTCTAATTCAAATGAAAATTTAGAAACAGTGTAACAAAAAAAAAGAAAGTATATTCAAACAATTTTCAGTTCTTTCCAGTAGAACCAAAGCCACCCTCGCCACGTTCTGTGTCATCTAGAGCCTGAAAGACATCAATTATAATGAGTTGGTTTAGTGTCTGGACTTGCGTTTTGTTTCTATACAACACATTGTCTATCATGGAGGAAGGCACATTTACTTGGAACAATAGCTATAACTGAGAAACTAAACCAAATATTAGTTTGAGACATTTTAGAATACCTTTTGTACAAGTTTAAACAAATCCCACATTGAGACAACTGTTTCTAGTATATACTGAAGTATTTATCAAGTACCTGTTAACTCTGCAACTAAAAGAAAAAAAAAAATCCATGTAAATGCATGCAAAGCATCAAGGTTTTTATTCAGGTACCAATGCTACTATGCAGTTTTAACACTGAAAGTAGTTTTAAAGCAAAGTATTTACCTATACCATAAACTTCAGCCTATATACAACTACCTTAAACTATTAGTTATTGAAAACAGCAGAAGAATTTTCTTTTAGGCAACCTACTTGAACTTCTTCTAGCTCAGGATAGCAAATGCGTTCACAGATGAGCTGGGCAATCCTATCCCCTTTTTTCACTGTAATGAAGTTAAAATATTATTAGTTCCTTCAAAAAAAGTGAACAATCAATACAAAGTTTAGACAATCCCCTTTCAAGAGTATCAGAATGTACTAAACTGTAAACTCATATTTGAAACTTCGTTAAGCAGATGTTAATAGTCCAAAAAAAATACAGGCTAAGATAAACTTGTGCTTAACCCTTTTTAGGTGAGGTTTCAGTATCGGTACCGGGTCAAGGCATCTCCCCTGTGTCCTTATGCATAAATACTGCAGAGATGGAGAGACAGCTGCATGTATAATGTGGCTCCTTTTGTGAACTTGACCCAGGAACTGGTTTCCTGGGGGGGAAAAAACCCAAACTGATAAAAGGAAAACAAAATTTCTGATTAGTACCAATCTGGTTCATAAGAGCTTCCCTAAGAAGCTTATGCCATGAAGTTGCAGAAAGGGCCGCAAAAACACTTGCAACATTGTAACTGGGCCCCCAGGCTTAAAACTGTTTGCAGAAAGACAGTGTGATGAAGGGAAAATTGTATCTTTATTACTCATGTTTCTGGGGATCCCGGATAAGTTTTTTCTCTCTCATACTGCTCAGCTAAATCTTTTTTTTTTTTTTTCAAGAAAGAAACCTAATACCAAGTTACACTTCAGTACATCTCATGAATCTAAAGCTTATCTAAGTAGGTTTTGTTCTTCATTTTGTGGTGGCGGGGTGTGTTTGGGTTTTTGGTGGGTATATTTTTATTTGCATGCTGCCTAATTTGCTAGGAGTGGAATCTTTTTGTGTTTCCTTGACAGGACATTGTAAAATTTCCATGTTTTTGTTAACTGAAAGAAGAAAAATGTTCTCAGCTAATTCTAACTCTTCATAGACTTTTAAAGAAAAATTAGTGTCTCGTTTCTAGTTAGATGGCTGAAAATAGGCTCTGCCAAGCTTAACACTTACCTTCAAAACTCTCCTTGCCAAAGTTGAAGAGTACTACACCAACATTTCCCCTGTAATCCTCATCAATAACACCAGCTGTCAAAAGAATAAGAGGGATATCCAATTAATCAATGTTGTCCGTATATTAGACAAGTAGATTAGATAAGGTTTAGATTAGTAGATGATTGCAGTATCTCGTACTGATGTCATTTATACTACTCATGCACAATTAAACAATATATATGAAAATAATTATCTAAAAATGCTAATCAATCTTGCAAAAAGAACTGAAAAACACTATCACATATCAAGAAGTGTTTTACCGCTGTACTTCTAATTTTAGTTGTAATACCCTATCTGAAATCAAGACAGCTGTACCGAATTCAGGCTCCATTTGTTCTGCTAACTTCAGCTCTTTGAGTGTCAAGCAGAAATCTGTTCTTAACTCTTTAACGTTTTGTTTGAGAGCTATGGATTTGCACAGATCCAAATCCTGTATCTCATGCAGGGTATCACACAATCACAGAATGTTCGGGGTTGGAAGGGACCTCTGTGGGTCATCTAGTCCAACCCCCTGCCAAAGCAGGGTCACCTACAGCAGGCTGCACAGGACCTTGTCCAGCCGGGTCTTGAATGTCTCCAGAGAAGGAGACTCCACAACCTCCCTGGGCAGCCTGTTCCAGTGCTCCGTCAAACGGTAACAGAACTAAAGCTTTAAGGAATTGATTGTCACTCAGCTACATTTAAGTGTAAATACTGTAAAACCAGCTTGCTCTTGTATTTTTAGATGACTTTATTAACTACATAGTTCAGGAGATTATCTACCAATACAGATTATTTTAATCTTATTCGGCTTCTTTGGGGTTTTTCTCTCCAATTCAGGAAGCATATTTCAGAAAAACTGGAGTTCGGGCTTCCTTGTGGACCAAAGTATGTATTTTGAAGTATACTTGCAGAAATAATTAAAATACTAAAACTACATGTCATTCCAAGACATTCCCGGACTTGTACATACAAAGTACTACCTTTAGAGATTATAAACACCAGAGGAAATTGTAGTATGACTATACCTTGAAGTTTTAATGTTGAACCACAACATACACATTTAAGAATAGAAAACTGAGTGGTTTTTTTCCTAGTTTCTTTAGCTGTGTGAAAATATTGCAGTACATATGGTCCATAGTTACTGTACAATCTCTGCACTAGTTCTAGTGTGAAAAAGGTATTTATACAGCTCTC